AGAGAGAGAGAGAGAGAGAGAGAGAGAGAGAGAGAGAGAGAGAGAGAGAGAGAGAGAAGATAAAAAGAAAGGAAGTATTCTTATTGTTTGAGTATTATTTTTTTGTAATTATATTTTTTTTCCAAGGCAGGGTTTCTCTGTGTTGCTTTGGAGCCTGTCCTGGAACTCACTCTGTAGACCAGGCTGGCCTCAAACTCACAGAGATCAGTCTGCCTCTGCCTCTGCCTCCCAAGAGCTGGGATTAAAGGCCTGCGCCGCCACCAGCACTGCCTGGTTCTTTTTAATCTTGTTACAACTCTTCAGTTATCTGAATTTTCTGTACCCTCTTTCTCCCCTCCCCTCCCTTCCCCTTCCTTCCCCTCCCCTCCCCTCCTCTCCTCTCCTTTCTTTTTTTGTTTTTCAAGACAGGGTTTGTGTATGGGTGCACACAAGTGTAGGAAGGGAGATCCTGCTGTTGGAGTTACAGGCAGCTCTGAGCGCCAGATGTGGCCGCAGGAACTAACCCGAGGCCCACAGCAAGAGTAGTAAAGAGGAGTGCTCGCTTTAGCGCTGAATAGAGCTCTCTCCGGCCTCGTGCCTTTGATAGGCTTTCGTTTTTGGCTGAACCATTATTTTGCAACATAACAAATGGTCTTATTTTTTTTTCTAGATCAAGATTTCCTTTTATTTTAAAAAGTTCCTAAAAGTATGCCGTAAAAATTTCAAAATGGTACAAGATATCCTGGATGTCATCACGCTGACTTCTTGGTTACTTTTTCCGCTGCTCTGTCTTAAACAGATCTCTCAGCACAATCTGTTTTCTCAAGAACACCCAGCTCAGCCTCACACGCCACGTGGCAGCTTCACGTCCGCCTGGTAAAAGTGACTCTTTAAAAAAATGCAGAGCCTCCCATGTCCTTTCGCCATCATTCTGGTAAACGCATACTGTTTAATAACATAAATATTTGACTCCGGCCAGACAGATGGCTCAGTGTGTAAGGTCTCTTCCCAGAGCCCGCAGCACTGTGGGAGAGAGCCACTGAGAGCCCCCTACATACACAAAGTCGTCCTGTGACCTGCACATGTGTGCCATGGCATGTGCACCCACCCACACATACATCATACCTACAAACAATAATAATAGAAATTTAAAAATGTAATTAAAATAATGAAAGTGTAAAATTGAACATGAAGCTTAAAGTTCACTGAGATATATAGATTATATAGATATATAGATTTGGTTAATTTTGGGTATAATATTTTTAGTGCAAGTTTTTGATAATAAAGTTTATAAAATATGTTTAAAGAATGTAATTTCTGCTGGGTGGTGGTGGTCTTTAATCACAGCACTCAGGAGGCAGAAACAGGCAGAACTCTGTGAGTTCAAGGCTAGCCTGGTCTACAGAACAAGTTCTAGGACAGGCTCCATAGCTACTGAGAAACCCTGTCTCGAAAAACAAAAAACAAAAAATGAAACAAAAAAAGAATGTAATTTCTATAGCTGGTATGGCGGCACAGACCTGTAATCCCAGCACTCCAGGGGCTGATGTAGAAGGATAGGTAGTCCAGACAAGCCCACCACATGGGCAGATACTACTTAAGAAAAAAGGGTAATTTTCTTTTTTTCATATTTTCCAATACCATTTAAAAATTATTTCTCAAAAAATTATTTCTCATTTATACTCCAGTTGGTTTGCAGAAAAGGTCTTTATTAAAGCTTTCTCTTTTGAATTATGCTAATTGAAAGGTGTCCTAAAGTAATTGTGCCTGAAAAAAATTAGATGTGGAATAAAACTTATGTATGAACACAAATGATTAGGATGAGTTTTTAGTGAGTGCAGTAACTTTCATCACCCATTTATGTGGAAGTGCTTTAGTTGATACTATTTGACACTTAGCAAAAAATTAATGTTGAACTGAAGTGTCAGAGCAAGAACTAAGTTCAGTTTGAAAGGTCACTGGGGGTATTTCAGAACAACTCCGACGTCACCAGTGAGCAAGCAGAGGTGGCTTAGATGACCTTCTGGACTTCTATGGCAAGACACCCACTCGAGGCTGCCAGTTCTCACCATTATATAATGCTCCCTTCACCAGTGACTTTCCTTAAAAATCATGTATGTAGCAGGCCACAGCACATAATAATATGCATGAAAGGTGCACAGAGAATTCCATATTTCCACCTATAAATCCTGGTTGCTATGTAAACTGGTGCCTGAGGTTACATGAGCCTGGGTTCTCCCTGCTTATGAATAAAATGACAAGACCCTGGTGGCTCCCTCACAATAGGGAGATAAAGAAATACATCAATATGCTATTTCATTCCCAAATAAATAAAAAAAAATCTATGTTACAAACGTATACAACACAATAAATTAAAAAAAAAAATCAAACAGCATTCAGAACATTATATAGCCGGGCAGTGGTGGCACACTTCATTCTCAGCAGGCTAGAGGAGGGGGTGTGGGGGAGCAGAGGCAGGCAGATCTCTGAGTCTGAGGTCAGTCTGGTCTACGAAGTAAGTTCCAGGACAGCCAGGGTTACACAGAGAAACCCTGTCTCAAAAAAAACCAAAAAACGAACACAAAACCACTTCTTCTGCAGGTACATGTACCCAGAAAATGGTCCGGTAGCACCCGCGGTGAGTTATAAACCCTGCTCTCTTCTGATCCAGGATGCGGTGAGCACCACTTGGGTGTGTTCCAAGGAGGGATGAGGAGGGAGTTTGTATTCTAGATGCTCCTGTGTGTTAGATTTTACTCTTCCCCTCTCAGGCCCTCCCTTCCCCTCCCTCCCCTTCCACCCTCCTCTCTAAGTTTGGATTGAAACCACAGGGCTGATTGTGGAGGCAGCTGTCTGTGGGGCATCTTACTCTCCCCAGTTATGAGAGCTGATGCCTCCCAACAAATCTCTTTGGAGACTCCCCGATGTCTCCTTTTGGTGGGTTACTCTGGAGAGCCCCAACACATCCCCTCTCTTCAGAATATTTGGTCCTAGCCTGCAGAAAGGATGAAGGACAGAGACATTCAAGTGATGTAACCGAGACCCAGAAGTACAAGGTCAGAGGTCAGTTACCCATTGGACTTATGTACTCATGGATTTCTAGTACCTGGAGAGGCACTGTAGTAACCTCAGCCAAGGTCCAGGTGGCTAGTCAAGAGGTAAGGGGAAACGAGGACGGGAGAGAGGGGCAACACCTGGCTAAAGAAAGGGCCTGCTGGGGACAACTAGATGGTCACATTATAGGACTCAGAATGAGGAGGTGGTATGAAGCCTATTCCCGGGCATAACGGTGCCAATATTAGGGAACTATAGAACTGGGAGGTAATTTGCTCTCCCTGCAGCTTTGATAACGGGTTCACTGAAAGACTAATTGCTTAGGGGGGGCTGTGGAGGGGAGGATGCCAGGGGCTTGGTCTGAGGACCACAGCTGAGCAGAATGGGGACCAAACAGAAATCTTGAAATTTCTCTGGCGAAGGGAGATAGAGCTCTATCTAGATGCATGATGTCCAGGACTTCTGCTGAGCATATCAGAGACCAGATAATAAATGCTGACTCGCTTGGGCTTCAAGTGGAGCTCAGAGTTACCATGGATGCTTAGCTCGTACAAGGCTCTAGATTCAGTTTCCAGCAAAAGAAAAACAAGATCAAAGCAAAGCAACAGCAAAGCTGAAATTCCCTTCAAGGGGAAGCCCAAAGCCACTCACAGGCAGCCTGCTGTGGATGAGATTGTCACCCTTGAAAGTGACCAGCAGACATCTGGGGTCACACAGTCATTGCCTCAGATCTTCTCCAAGGTAAAGACAGAACATTTCATTTGTTTCATACGTGGAAATGAAACCCCACATCTGTGTCCATCCCTCCTGCCTTGCCCCCCCCCCCCCATTTTTTTTTTCTTTTTTTGAGACAGGACCTTATGTAGCCAATATTGGCCTCAGGCTTCTCCATAGCTGAGGGTGACCTTGGATTTCTGATCCCTTGCTTCTACTTCTTGAGAGCTGGGCTTACGGGGTGCACAACCACACCTGCTTATTTATGCTGGGAATGGAACCCAGGGCTTTGCGCATGCTAGCCTAGCCCTCTCCTGAGCCACACCTCAACCCTAAAATAGCACTTTCGATGATTTCTGTGGAATATTGTTGGCCAGCTTCTGATGTCAAGGTCCTTGTTGTTGCTTATGATTTTTTTTTTGTAGGTTACAAGCTTCCAGTGAGGGAGACGGGCCATTGTCTGTCGAACCTCAGAGTACTTTGTTCTATAACACTGGAACATTAATTTCTCTCTCGCTCAAGCTTCATAACACTTCTCTCTAGGTGTGTCTGTTTCCCCGATGCCCTATTTCCCCTACATCTAAGGATCCCGGGAGTGGGCTATTTCTCCTAGCTGGATCTATTTCTAATCACACAGGGCTGGCAGAGTTGGTGAAATATTGCTAGAACAGTATTGAGATATAAATCTCACTCTCTGTTGGCAAGTGTACGGGTCAATCATTCGCTATTGCTTGACTACACATTGACGGTTTACTATCGACCGGAGGTCACTTGGTTCTGTCCGGCCTAGAGCTCTTAGCACCGTATGTGACTTTGGCCTGACTACATTGGCTGCTAGAGGAGGTGGTGTTCTGGGATCTGCCCATACAAGGGTCAGGTTGTTCATAACTCATTCTTACCTCAGTACTGACTGCGTTAAGAATTTTTGTTTGCTTTCTTTCCAACAGTGCCACCTTGACCTCTGGCTGGAAGGTGTTGAGGCCTTCCTTTCTGACTGCCATTGCTCAGTGTTTTCTCATAAACTGTGAATAAGAGCCGTTCTGTACATAGATCTAACTTTACACATACTTACTAAGCTCTGAATTGCCAGTTCTGAGATTCTGATTTCCCTTCTTAAAAAAATCCTTTCTGGGAGCTAAGGATGTAACTCAGTTGTTAGCGTCCTTGCCTAGCATGCATATTCAACCCAGGGTTGAATCCCAGCACTTGGCAAAGCAAGCAAGGGAATCAGAAGTCAAAGTCACCCCTGGCTGTGTTTGGAGTCCTGTAGCAGCATGGACCGTGTCTAAGAAAAACATGACTTCGTCTCCTTTACAGGGGGAGAGAGTTTAGGTCAAATTCCCTTCCTTAGAGACAGGAGGGAGGGTGATCTGACATTTGCTTCCTTTTGTGTTGGAATTATGGGAGGCATGAGGTCTCCCTCACTGTGGAACGCGGCTGCTTTCTCTGTGACCAAACCTGTTTTTCCTGTGACCAAACCTGGGCAGATGGCGTGGACACGTCAGCTGCTTTCCTTTGGGCATTCAGAACCCCACGAGAAGCTGAGTTAATTTAGGGTGGAAGCTCCACTGGTTGTACGGAATGCAGACCTCACTGGGTGAGGAATTAACTGGCTTCAGGAATGACCACACAAGCAGTCATTAGAGAGTGGACCAAGGAATAGGGCAGAACAGTGGAGTCTCATTTAACCTACAGTGAGGGACTGAAGAGATGGCTCAATGGTTTAGAGCATGTACTGCTCTCGTAGAGGACCCTGGTTTAGTTCCAGCACCCATGTCCAGCAGTTTACAACTGCCTACAGCTGCAGTTCCAGGGGGATCTGATGACCTCTTCTGAGCTCCTCTGATGCTGCATTCACGGCTTATCTGCACCCAGCCCACATAATACTGTTAAAAATACAACTATAAAAACCTAATATACATGACCTAGTAATTCTACCCCTAGCCAAATACTCATGAGAAACAAAACATCCACCAAAAATGTATACAAGGACATAAACAGAAAAATTATTCATAATAGCTCAAGAATAGAAAAACTCAAATGTCTGTGAGTGAATGGAAGATGTGCTTTGTCCTTACGACAGAACACTCTTAAGCTGGCCACAAAGAACCGTTAGGTGGTATAATATGAATGAGCATCGAAAACATTATGCTACGTGGAAGAAGCTAGACACAAAAGTCACATATTATATAATTCTATTGAAATGGTTTGTCTCGAATCAGTGAACCCACAGAGACAGGAAACAGATTAGTAGCTGTTTAGGATGACAGAACTAAAGGGGGGGGGGAGAAGGAGGGGAACCACTAAGGCAGATACTTCTAAACCAGTGTTTTAGGGTGGGCGTGTGCTCACCCACAAGCACACCAGCAGAGGACAACCGTGGGAGTCAGTTCTCTCTTGACTCCCTGGGTCCTGGTGACGGGACTCAGGTTGCTAAGCTTGTGCCGTGAGCATTTACTGTTACAGTGTTTTATCCTGCGCCAGAAAGGGAACCAGTCCACCCACGGTTGTGGCTTCTGTGCTGGAGGCTTGGTCAGCTTCTTTTGCCTCTTCCTTTCCCGGCTCCCCACCCCCTCCTTTTCTCCTGTGATGCTGGGTTTGGCACCTGTAGGGAAGCACCCCACCGCTGAGCTCTGTTTCTTCCTAGCCACTTTGAAGGATTCCTATCTTTTGCTTCTCTCCTGAACCGTGCAAGCAAATGAAAAAAAAAAAAATACAGGAAAAGAGCTAGTGATAAGAAGCCGCAGGATGCTTTCTTTCTCAAGATACTGTGTCCAGTTACTGAAAGAAAAACATTTCAGTATAGAATATTTAGGAAGCAGAGAAGGGAAGTTCTGCTCCTCCTGCAGTACCAGCTTGGTGAGGTGGAGGCAGAAGGATGGAGAACTTGAGGACTAATAGTAACTAAATAGTAATTGTTCACCCCGAAACCAAAGCAGTCTGTCTCTGTCTCTCTCTGTCTCTGTCTCTCTCTCTGTCTCTCTCTCTCTCTCTCACACACACACACACACACACACACACACACACACACACACACACGGCTCTACTAGCTTGAACGTGCCAAAGTGAAGAAGTGTAGATCTTTTTCTTAATTGAATTTAACCAGGTCCTCTGACCTCCTTTCTGTGGATAGAAGGAAACCATTCCTTAGGACAAAGACTCACCGAAGGGTAGGGATCTTCCTGTTCTACCCTTTCTTTTTCTTCTGTTTCTTCTCATTCTTACCCACCCTGCACACTGCTGGCTTAGAGAAGGGATGACATTTACATGGTGCTGGACACATTGGCACACCCCTTTAATCCCAGCACTCAGGTGGATCTCTGGGAGTTTGAGGCTAGCCTGGTCTACAAAGAGTTTCAGCACAGCCAGGACTACATAGAGAGACCCTGTCTCCTCCCACCCCCAAAGTGCAGATGGTACCCCCAGCTTGATGGCCTTTAGGGGTTCTCAATTTCTCACAGGGAATATATATATATATATATTTTTGAGACAGGGTTGCATGTAGGCCAGGCTGGTCCTCACATTCAGTATGTAGCTGAGGATAATCTTAAACTATTTAATATCTGTTTTTATTTTGTTTTCTTTTTGTTTTTTTGTGATAGATTTCTGTGTTTAGCCCTGGCTGTCCTGGAACTCTCTCTGTAGACCAGGCTGTCCTGGAGCTCAGAGATCCACTGCCTCTGTCTCCCGAGTGCTAGGATTTTTCAATGCATGGATTAAATGGGATCAGCTCTGGGCTGGGGGTTTCCCTTGGCTTCCTTTAATGGGCTCAGCTAAGACTTCCCTCATTCCTCTGTCACACAAAGGCCCTGCAGTGTAACTGAATCCGTGGCTCTGTTCGCTTCGGAATGGGAAGTCATCCAAGCTTGCTCATTCATGGTTCTCTCTTCCTGAGCTGGAGAACTTCACAGAAGATGCTAAGAGCAATTGAAAAGTGAAAGGGAATGATGTCTTTCACCACACACATATGGACCACTTAAAGAATTCCAGAACAGGGGCTGGAGAGATGGCTCAGAGGATGGGAGCGCTGGCTGCTCTTCCAGAGGTCCTGAGTTCAATTCCCGGCAGCCACATGGTGGCTCACAACCATCTGTAATGAGGTCTGGTGCCCTCTTCTGGCCCACAGGGATACATGCAGACAGAATATTGTATATCTAATAAATAAATCTTAAAAAAAAAAAAAATTCCAGAACAGAGAAAGACACAAAGGAAGTGTGAAAAAAAAAAAAAGCCGGGCAGTGGTGGTGCATGCCTTTAATCCCAGCACTCGGGAGGCAGAGGCAGGCGGATCTCTGTGAGTTCGAGACCAGCCTGGTCTACAAGAGCTAGTTCCAGGACAGGCTCCAAAGCTACAGAGAAACCCTGTCTCGAAAAACCAAAAAAAAAAAAAAAAAAAAAAAAAAAAAAAAAAAAAAGGAAGTGTGGGCTGTGGTGTCTGTTCTGGGGTGCTCTTCACAAGTTCACAGTTAAATGACTGTCCCTTTAGAATGCCACACCGAGCTGACCCTCTCATAGACTTTCCTGGTGAGAGACCCCTACAGAACATCCCACAAAATATGTCGACCAGGCTGGCCTTGAACCCACAGACATTCGCCGGCCTCTGTCTCCCCAGTGTTAGGATTAAGGGTGTGTGCCAACAATCCCAGTGAGGTGCATTTACTTTAGATCTAAAGGAAATACTTACAGGGCTGGAGAGAGCTCAGATGTGAAGGGGCTGGTTGACAAGTCTGGCGACGTGGAGGAGCCACGTGGAGGAGAGAGGACTGACTACCGAAAGTTCTCTCTCCCACAGGCATTCACACTCCCCAGACAGTGCAAGGAAACTACCAGAGGGCAAATTGACAAGTGGAGGTGACAAAAACAGACTGAGGGATTTAACTAAAGACGAAAGCAATTCCAACGTGCGTGACAACACGGATGAACCCTGGGGATTAACCGTTCCGGAAGGACAGATTCTACATGGTCCCACTCAATAGAGAGGGACCTAGGGAGGTCAGAGGCAGAGGGAGTAGGTGGGACAGAATGGTGGTTTCCAGAGCTTAGGGAAGGGAAATGATTAATCACAGTTAGTGATTAATGTATATGGGGTATGTTATCAGTTAGGCAAGGCGGAAAGTTGGAAGTGGATGGTAAAAGTGTGCAGCAATGTGGCTATACCTAACATTATTTAACTGTACCCTTGACAATGGTGGAGCCAGAAAGACAGCTTGGTGGTTAGGAGCTCTGCTTGCTCTTTCAGAAGACAAGCACCCGCATTGGGTGGCTCACCAACACCTGTCGCCCCAACTCCAGGGAATTTGCCGCCTTCTTCTGGCCTCCTCAAGCACCTGCACACATGTGGCATATACCCACAGACACATACACGTTAAAAATAAACTTAAAAAGAGAAAAGAAGGGGCTGGAGAGATGGCTGAGGTTTAGAGCACTTGCTGCTCTCGCAGAAGACGCAGGTTCAGTTCCCAGCACCTATGTGGTGACTCACAACCACCTGTAACTCTACTTCCGGGGGATTGGATACCCTCTTTTGATCCCTGTGGGTACCAGGCATGCACATGGTACACACACATATTACAGGCTGGGTTTGGATTAGAGTCTAGTGCAGACCTGATTATTAGCGATGTGTTTATTTTTTCTGAGAAAAGTAACTGAGCCTTCTGTCTCGTCTAAGCATATTAGATTTCAGGAAACAAAACCAAGCCAGGCTTTGTGTGTGGAGATGCTATTATTTCATTTTAAAGATTTATTTGCTGATTTTAAATATGAGCACAAGAGTGCACGGAAGCGCAGGGTGGTGGTGGCGCATGCCTTTAATCCCAGCACTCGGGAGGCAGAGGCAGGCGGGTCTCTGTGAGTTCGAGACCAGCCTGGTCTACAAAGGGAGTTCCAGGACAGGCTCCAAAGCTACAGAGAAACCCTGTCTAAACCCCCCCCCCCCCAAAAAAAAAGAGTGCATGGAAGCCAGAGTTGTCGGATTCTGTAGATCTGGAGTTATAGGCTGTTGTGGGGTACCTATTATGGGTGCTGGCAACTAAACTCGGGTCCTCTAGAGGAACAACAGTATGTGCTTTAACCACTGAGCTATCTCTACACCCTATTATTACCCGCCCCCCCCAAGACAGGGTTTTTCTGTTTAGCAGTCCTGATTGCTCTGGAACTCACTCCGTAGACCAGGCTGACCTCAAACTCACAGAGATCCGCCTGCCTCTGCCTCCCGAGTGACAACATTAAAGGCATGCGCCACCACACCCGGCTATAGTTTTATACATGTGTCTTGGAGTATTTTCTCAGCAAATTTAAAAAAGCAATTTAAACAAGGTATGTTTAAATTGATTGTCAGCCTTTTGGTTGTAGGTTAGGAACAGCAAAAAGGAAAAGAAAAAAAATCAAGAATAATTGTTTTTCAGTAAACATCCTTTTTGTAGACAAAGCAGTGTAGTGTAGTGAGGTGACTAGCACATTCCCTTTGGAAATGGGAGCCAGGGCCTCGTGATGCTTGTCGTGACGCTTGTTGATCTGAGAGCCCCGGTGAACCAGTTGGGGACTGGGTGGTGCTGGTGACTGCGGATATCAGCACCTAGGATGCCAGCTGTTCCCAGTCTTCCAGGCTCATTTCCAGCTGCAGAGAATTCCCCAGAAGATGACCAGGTCAAAAATGCAGGGAGGGGGAATTCCTTCGCAGGATTTCGGGGAAGAGAAGCATTCCGTTCTCTTAACAAGTCTCACTTGTTGAATTTCCTCCTTCCTCTGACTCAGAACTGCAGCAGCAGATCGGAACTCGATGGCTATTCTTAAAGCTGTTTGTGGGTTACGTTTATTTTTGGATTCCGGGCAAACTACAAAGCATAGTTTGGAAATGTTAAAAAAAAAAAAAAGGTCATGATGTAATTTTTATACCGTTATTTAACCCAAAGACCGTGGCCTGAAGGAAGCGGAGCAGAGCGAGGGTGAAACGTTATTTCTGAAGCTGTCTGTGATGGTACGCGCTGTCATCCCCAGCTTTTCGGGAGCTGAGGAAGGAGGACGGCCCTGGGTTTCAGGACAACATAGAATACATGATATCGGGCCACTATAGACTACAGCCTCCCAAACAATAACAATTACCACGGCAACAAAAACAGACCCCTCCTCTGGATAACAAACACATAAACAATTTCTTTGCTGAGGGTTCTCATGGATGTCTGCGATCCCCAGTGTAAGGCAGAGAAATATGGCTGTGAGGTAAGGCCAAACCAGACCGCAAAATGAAGCCGTGTTCCACTAAGTAAAGACAGATGATAGACAGACAGACAGCAATTAGATCTCCTAATTACCTCTCCCCTCAGTGCCTGTGGGTTGTGGCTGAGTTCAACTCCTGCAGTCATTGTTTTCTCAGAAGCACTGTGTACACACTGAAGGAATCTATCTCACCCACAGAAAAGAACGGAAAAACGCCAAGAAGATTGTTCTGCCCTCCACGAGCCAGAAATAATCTTTCTGGAGTTATGGTGGATGTTTGAGTGCATTTACCTTTAGTGCTTGACGGAAACAGTAATTTCTGCGTGAAACGTGTAATTTGGACACTTAGCGCGCTAAATGCTAAGTAGACGTCGCGTTCAAGAGCGCACCATTTAGAGCCGGAGACTATTTTAGCAGTCTGTAAGTTGCCTGACGCCTGGGAGCTCAGTGGCGCTGACAAGCTTGGGGGCGGGAGTGAGTCATCAGGTGGGTGACTCACGCGGTTGCCTAGGAGGCGTCCAGGGCAGGCGTTTGCCGTTCCCAGGCGTGATGATGATCTCTGGCGGAGATCGTCTAGTGCCGCCCACATTTCGTTCTCTTCCTGCTCATTGGCTAGACATGTTGTCACCCAACTGAGAGGAGACATTCTTATTATCGTTTGGGGGCAAATAGATGACTAATTTTGGCCATCGAGACGTAAATAGGGTGTAGGCAGCCCTCTGGAAGTATTCTTTTTCCCTAGCTCTTCTGAGATAGATACAGTGATAATGGTCAGACTCCTTGTCCACCTTGGGCCATGAGGATGAGCAACCACTAGCATGACTGAGCGGAAGGAGTCCTGGCCCCTGACAACGGGTGGAAACCCTATCCTAACCTAGTGTGCTTATTCCTGAATTTTATTTATTTATTTTTAAACTGTGTGTGCATGTGTGCATGAGTGCGGGTGCACGAGGCGTCTAGACGGCGTCAGATGCCCTGATCTAGATGTTAAGCAGACTGTACGTTAGAGTCGTAGAGATCTGTGGGCCACCTGGCATGGGTGCTGGGAACAGGACCTGGGTTCTCTGCAAGATCAGTGCTCATGAGCAGTTTCTCCAGACCCTGAATTTATTTTATATGAAAACGATTTTTTTTAGTTAAAGAAAAAATTTATTTTATGTGCGTGATTTTTTGTCTACATGTATGATTGCATACCATGTGTGTGCCTAGTGCCTGAGGAGACCAGAAGAGGGTTTCAGATCCCCTCAAGCCGGAGTTATAGACAGTGGTTCCCTGCTATGTGGTTGCTGGGAACCAAACTTGGGTCCCCTGCAAGAGCAGCAAGTGCTCTTAACCACTGAGCCATCTCTACCCTTGTATCTCTGCATGTTTATTCTGTCTCTGTCTTTCTCTACTTCTCCCCGCCTCTCCCCCATCACTTCTTGTTTCCTGTTGATACAGGGTATTACTATGTAGCCCAGGCTAGTCCCAAACTCAGAATCCTTTTCCCTGAGCAACCCAGGTACTGCAATTATAGGTGTGAACCACCACGTCTGGCTTTCATTTTCAGTCTTGGTGAGCGGTGGGTTCTGATGTTTCTTCTTACCTGTGTGGGGAGTTGTTGACTCACCCCTGGGAAAGCAGAAGGGCATGAGCTCATCCTGGAGGACAGAGCCAGGAACCTCCTGGCCTTGAATTTGCATCTTCACGTCTCTTCTTGCCGTGGGCTCTCTTCTGGGACCAGCGTTTTTTTGGGATTTAACTTTGAGCAAGGCTCTGAAGAGTTACTCCTTTCTCTGTGTCTCCAAGTGTGGAATGAGGCAAATTGTCCCTCCAGTCTTTCTTTTTTATTTATTTATTTATTTATTTTTATTTATTATCTATACAATATTCTGTGTGTGTGTATGTCTGCAGGCCAGAAGAGGGCACCAGACCCCATTACAGATGGTTGTGAGCCACCATGTGGTTGCCGGGAATTGAACTCAGGACCTTTGGAAGAGCAGGCAGTGCTCTTAACCACTGAGCCGTCTCTCCAGCCCTGGCCAGGGAAGACAGCATGAAGAATGGCGGATGATGAAGGCCTCCACTCAGGGCTTCCCTCCCAGCTGGCTCCACTGTGTACCTACAGGACTAGGCACGTTGTGTGCCAGAGGTCAATACTGGCTTTGTAACACTGATGCTTCATTTATCTTTTCTAAAATGTTCGAGAAGGGCTGTTTTATTATTAAACAAATAAATTTATTTTTTATTATTCATTTATTAAACCTAGTACACAAAAGAATGGACTTCATGATGACATTTTCAACAGATGAAGCTCTCTCTCTCTCTCTCTCTCTCTCTCTCTCTCTCTCTCTCTCTCTCTGTTTTCTGAGACAGGGTCTCACTACATATCTCTGGCTGCCCTGGAACTCACTCTGTAGACCATTATGCCTGACTTTTCCACATCTTCTGGAGGCACTAACAGGATGTGAGTGGGGTCCTCTGATGTGCTTTTGGGTAGGCAGAAGCTTTGGAGACTCTTCTTAGGGACAGTGGCAGGATTAGCTTTTGTCAGCCTGATACAAACTGGAGCTGCCTGGGAAGAAGGAAAGAAAGTAATTAACCTAGTACTTATCTTACTAACTAACATCTCAATTGAGGAATACCTCCATTAGATTGTCCTGTGGGCAAGTTTGTGGGGCCTTTCCTTTTTCTTTTTTTTTTTTTTTTTTGGAGATAGGAGCTCACTATGAAGCTAGGGCTGGCCTTGAGCTCACTCTGTAGCTGAGGCTAGACTGATTTGCCTTCACCCACTTTTTTTTTTTTTTTTTTTTTTTTTTTTTTTTTTGGTTTTTTGAGACAGGGTTTCTCTGTGGCTTTGGAGCCTGTCCTGGAACTCGCTCTGTAGACCAGGCTGGTCTCGAACTCACAGAGATCCGCCTGCCTCTGCCTCCCGAGTGCTGGGATTAAAGGCTTACGCCACCATCGCCAGGCTGCCTTCACCCACTTCTTATAACCAGGCTTCTACCTCCCCCTCCCCGCCTCTCCAAAGAGTATCCACTTCACACAGAGGCATTTGTGTTTGTGGCAAAAATTATCATAGGATCTGAAAACCTTGTTGAAAAAGTATTTACCTAAGGACTTTCCTGTTCATTAAGAACCTAGAGCCTGGCAGTGTTGGCGCATGCCTTTAATCCCAGCACTCGGGAGACAGAGGCAGGAGGATCTCTGTGAGTTTGAGGCCAGCCTGGTCTACAAGAGCTAGTTCCAGGATAGCTTCAAAAGCTACAGAGAAACCCTGTCTCAAAAAAGGGGGAAAAAAAAGAAAAAAAAAAAACAAACAAACCTGGGATACGCTGAGAACTCTGATTGGTTTTGAGATGTATTACAGACATTTGGTAACTTTTCTTTTTGTCTAAAAGTTCCCACTGGGGAAGCCACTGTTTTCTCCAGGGCCATTGGGAAAAGACTGTGACTCACCCTCTACTGTGGAGGCAGGTCCTGCACACTGACTTCGCTGGGGCCCTTCTAGCCCACCTTTACTCTAAGGGAAGACAGTCCACTAGCAATATTTTCCATGTCCCCTCACAACTAGGGTTCTTAGGTTCCAACAAGAATAATCAAACATCCTGTTTCCCCAGCACAGTGAGCCTTTTTCTTCATAGCAAGGCATCATTAAATGTCCTTACTCTCTGGCTTCTGGTAGAGACTTTGGATTCCTTTCGTTGAAGGGCTGTTTTGTCAAGGCGGTGGGTATTGGTTCTGCTGGGGCAGCCACAGGCTTTCTGATATGCTTCAGGGTTTGGTGGCTGGTGACGGTGGCAATGAAGCCTGACTAGTTCCATGGAATAGCTGGGTGTTCACCCAGGAGGTTTCGCACCTGGCTGTGGACCGTCTAAATCCATTCCCTGGTCTAATGACGCTATGTTTCCAAGGATGTTTACCATTCTGTAAGAAGATTTATTTTATGTGTACGAGTGTTTTGCCCGTATGTGTGACTGTACACCACGTGCATACCTGGAGCCTAGGGAGGTCAGAAGCTGCCCCAGAACTGAAGTTATAGATGACTGTGAACCATCATGTGGGTGTTGTAACAAAATTCAGGTCTACTGCAAGGGCAACAGTGCTCTTAACGGCTGAACCATCTCTCTAGATATACATTAGCACATTTAAAGATCTCTGATTAGCTCTGACTAGTGACTTTTTTTTTCCATTTTTTTTTTTTTTGAGAAAGACTCTCATGTGACCTGCACTGGGCTTGAACTTACTACATAGCTGAGCACGACCCTGAACTTCTGTTCCTTCTGTGTGTATTTCCCCGAGTGCCGAGATTACAGTGTAATCCATGCCTAGTGTATGCCGCTCTGGGGCTGGAACTCAGCTCTCTGTATGCCAAGCAAGCGCTGCACCAGATGAACGATGTCCCCAGTCCTCAGTGACGTATTATTTAATTTCAGTGCTCTGTGATTTATAAAATAATGAGCTGGGTGGTGAATGATGCCGTCTTAGCTTCAGTGACAAGCAGCATCTCCTTGAGTTCTGCCGTAACAAAATGCCACAAACTGGGTGGCTTAAATAGCAAAAAAATATTACGTATTATCGGAATCTAAAATATAAGATGAAGCTTCCGTATGATTCTGTCTCTGGTGAGGACCCTTTTTCTGGCTCACTGATGGCCTTTCCTTGCAACATCTGGAAGAGGTCTCCTTCTCTTCCTCTCTCTCCCTCTGTGTGTGGCAAGGTTTTACAGGGTTTCTCATGCTATGTGAATGCAGCCATGACGCAGGTAAGGTGTGCAGCATGTGAATTTTGGGCACACGCAATCAGTCTCTTTGACCGTGCAGCTCTGTGTTTGAAATCATAGGATACAAACAAAACAGAAACCAAAGGTGATTGAGATCACCATGGCTGAACACTAGGCCCCTTTATCCTCTTCAGAATTCTACCTGGTTTTCAAAAGGATACTATGTAAATCAGGGCTCTCTGCCAGAGAAGGTGAGGTAATTTGTAATGCCTGACAGTCTTTTTTTTTTAATTAATTTATTTTTATTTTATTGGTGTGTAGGCGGAGTTTTAGGGGGCCACTTCCAAATTACCACACAGAGTTTTTTATTAATTGTAAATGTTTGACTATACATGAGGGTTGTTACTGGCTAACTATTACATTTAAATTTACCTATTTCTGTTAATCTATGTATTGCCCTGAGGCACATGGCTTTACCTGTCTTCTGGTATATCTTGCTTCCTGGGTAGCTGGCTGCTGTCTCTTCTGACTCTGCTCTCTTTCCCCCAGCATTCTCATTCAAATGGTCTCACATAAATACTTTTTGTCTGGCTACCAGCCAATCAGGGTTTTATTCACAATGAGTGTAATCCACAGCATTGGGGTTTTGTCTATACGTATGTCTGTGTGAGGGTGTTGGATCCTGGCGTGACAGTTGTGAGCTACCATGTGGGTGCTGGGACTTGAACCTTGATCCTCTGGAAGAGCAGTCAGTGCTCTTAACCATGAGCCATCTCTCCAACCCTCCTGATAATCTTAAATCATCCTTATCACCGTTCACTTCCAGAGTGGCCTTTGCTCTTCTGTCTCACCATTTCCTCTCTTGTATATTTGGATTCCTTCTCTCATTCTGCTAAAAAAAAAATGGTTTATTAAAACAATTAAAATTGCTGGGTGGTTGTGGCACTCGAATTTAATCCCAGCACTCGGGAGACAGAGGTAGGGGGAGCTCTATGAGTTTGAGGCCAGTTTGGCCTACAAAGTGAGTTCCAGGACAGTCAGAGCTGTTATACAGAGAAACCCTGTCTAAAAAAAAATTACGTTTGTTTATTTATTTTTTTGTTGTGGCATTTATGTGGAGGCCAGAGGACAGTTTGCAGGAATCGATTCTCACTTTCACAGTGTGAGTTCCAGGGGTCAAACTCAGGTAGTCAGGACTGGGGGGCAGAATCTTTACCCACTGAGCCATCTGGTCCACACTCATTCCACTAAAAAAAAGATTTATTTATTTATTATGTATACAGTGTTCTTCCTGCATGTGCTCCTACTTGCCAGAAGAAGGCACCCAGTCTCGTTATAGACGGTTGTGAGCCTCCAAGTGCTTACTGGGAATTGAACTCAGGACCTCTGGAAGATCAGTCAATGCTCTTAACCTCTGAGCCATCTCTCCAGCCCTCATTACACTTTTTATTTTTATTTTATTTTTTTGAGACAGGGTTTCTCTGTGTAACAGCCCTAGCTGTCCTGGAACTTGCTCTATAGGCCGGTATGGCCTCAAACTCACAGAGATCCTCCTCTCTCTGCCTCTCGAGTGCTGGCATTAAAGGCATGCGCCACCACCGCCGGCCTCATTCCACTTTTTAAGTCAGAAGAGAAACGTTATAACATTCAATTATTAGGCTACACCATGTTATGTTTCCTGTTTAATCATTTTGCCACAGCGTGCCTGTGATTACTGTGGTAAATTCTGCCGTTACGGCTTCTAACATGTATCTTGAATTTGATTTTTAAAATTCTTGGTTTTGGTATGTGACAGGTTACTCCAAATTCATCCTTAGAGGGGTGTGAATGTGGAGTGGTTTCTTTTTACTTAAGTCCTAAAGAAAATCTGTGAGTTCTACCTGGTTCTACAGGAGCTGGGGGGAGGGGCGGGCAGGAGTGGGGTCGGGTGGGGGAGCAGGGGGAGCGGTGGTGGGGGCGGGGAAGCTGAGCCTATGAGTTAGTGTAGAAGCAGAGCACTGTGCTGAGAGCCACACTCGAGGATCTTAACATCCTGGTGTTGCAAACACTGAGTTGCTGCTAGGTGGTGTTGATTTTCGCAGTTTTTAAATTATGATAAAAGCAAGAATAAATGTGCAGGTATATGTGCTTTGAAAGGATTAAGCCAAGTGCTAGTGAGGGGTGAGAATGGAGCCCTGTCTCTAGCACACTCAGTACTGCAGTTGGGGTAACTCACTACTGTTGACCAGCCAAGATATCAGGTTTTGTTTATTTTAGCTTAAATTTTTTTTTAAAAATTTATTTATTTATTTAGTATACAGTATTCTGTCTGTTTGTATGCCTGCAGGCCAGAAAGAGGGTGCCAGATCTCATTACAGATGGTTGTGAGCCACCATGTGGTTGCTGGGAATTGAACTCAGGACCTTTGGAAGAGCAGGCAATGCTCTTAACCACTGAGCCATCTCTCCAGCCCCTAAATTTTTTTTTAAATTGCATTTTGT